TGAAGGAAACAGACCAAGTCCTCTCCCACAGGAAATCTGGATTTCCCTTTGGTTCCTTATTTCAGCAGAGGAGCTGGCAGGTACACAGCATGTTGCTTATGGTTATTGGGTCCAGAAATTACTCTCCAATGATAGGTTTCAAACTTCTAATAATAATACTTACACACTTATTTAATGTCTTATGAGCATTGCACTAAATCTTTTAATCTTTGCAACTACACTATGAGGTAGGATGAATTACTGGCCTTGTGTCTCAGATGGGAAAAATGACACAGGAAGGGGCACAGAGAAGAGGGAAGAAAGGATGTAAGAAAGCCAGAATTGTAACCCCTGCAATGTGGCTCTGGAATCGTTCATTGTTTTTAAATGATGGGATTCATCAGGATCCAGCTGAGTGTCAAAGTAACTAATGAGATTGTAAGTACTTCTTGAATACTTGCAAAGATTTTGCAAATCCTTCTGTAGGATTCATATTCTCCCTGTCCTCTCTCAGATATTTGGCATGGTAGTACTGCCTGTGATTTTAAAAATTTGCATTTTCTTCCTCAGCACAGGAGTGAAGTTACTTTGATGAATTCTTCTGCCTTTAAATACCTTTTTAAATTTAAATCACAATAGAAAAAAATTAATTGAAGTGGAAATAAAATGTATTTTTAGTTTATTTAAGAATAGCCAAAAGAGCAAACTAAATGAAAAAGTGCAGTACCATATCAATTGTTTTGACTTTTAACCCAATAATTTAACTTTTTTCCCTCAACTTTGTATTCTTTCTTATACTATTTATAACAGTTAACATGTATGTAATTGTTAGAGATATCAGTTTAATGTACTTGTTCTTATATAAACCCTTTACCTATCTGTTTTCATCTTATAAAACATGAAAACAATGAGGTTTAGAATAATTTTTCCTAAATTTGTAGTTTACATTTCAGAATCAAGATTGGAATGATGGCTAGGAATGTTGTTAACTGTGTTTATTTCATTTCTTCCTTGGGGATCATGTTTTCATCATTCTCTGCTCACTTTTTCAAGCTGTGGAAGACCAGAAAGATGTATCCATAGAAGCATTTCCCTCATTCTGTTCACAGAAGATCTTTAACGTGTAGCTAGAGAAATTTTCATTTCAGATAGCTTTGTCTTCCACAAACTTTTTCAAAGAGGAAAAATGTCCAACTCCTCAAACAATAAAATATAAAATAGAGCCAATAATTTAGAGAAAAATGTTGCTTCACCTTCTACAGCACTGCAAATTTTTCAGTTTCCTTGGTTTCACAACTTAGCTGATGAACAGTCTGTTGTGTGTAAGAAGCCACCTGTATCTTTGCTATCTTTGCCAGGGAACTGTAAAAAGTACAAGTGACATGCCGAGTCACATATGGTCTAGAGGTAGTTCACATAGGATGAAAATGGTTGTTTCATTAAGAATTCTATTTGTGCCCTGATTTTCTCTTGTCTTTTAGAAATAGTTCATACTTCCCACTTTCAAAAATTTTTGAAAAAGTCACATGGAATACTATAATTTCACATTTTATTATGAATTTTGATTACCAAAACAATTCTAATCATTTGACAAAAGGAAGCCCGTAGCTTTCATTTATGACCACCAAGGTAGAGAAAGTCTACTTGCCCAGGTCCATGGTAAGGTGTAGGAGGAGCCCAGAGCACCTCTGTCCCAGATGAGAGCCCAATGGCCCTGTGTACCCTGCATGACCAAAACTCCCTCTCAAGCAGACCAGCTTCCCAGGCCATGTGCTTTTGCTCAGCTGCTGTACCTTCTCTTTAAGCTTTAATCCCACCATTCCTCCTGCATCTCATCAAATAACTATCTTTAGAGAGAAATTTCATCTCTCCAAATTCTTGTGTCTTTATTTGTTTTTGATAGAAGTAGACAGTGCATAAGAGATAAGAAAATTAAAGGGCATTGAAATGCATTTCTTTGTATGAGAAGGTTTGACTTTGTCACCTGTACTATGTGGAAACATTGCACTGTTTGTGCCTTTGTTCATAATTAGGTGGATATCACAATAATTTTCAACCTGGTTTATACTCCACTTGTGCAATTACTCAAAAGATAATCTGGATCACTTTTTTGGGGGGATATCTCAGAGGAAAAGTGTTTTTATGAAGACAAATGGTACTGAAGTTTCAGTTTCTGTCATTTTACTAATGGTTAAGTCTTAACATAAAGTAAAGACTCATTTCTCCACTGGAAGCTCTAACAAAATCTCAGATCAGTTTCCAATTCAAACTTGGTGAATAAAAGAGCAGAAATTTATGTTTTCTCCAATACAGTTTAAACATATTGGATTTCTTACTTTTCCAAGAATGCACCAAGTACTTGCTGTTCAGACATCTTGCCTCTTTTCCTCTTCTCTGTGCCTTGCACAGGGAATGATCTTCCTGTGTCAGAGCTGATTCCCCTCCATCCTTTAGGTTTCAGTCACATGTCTCTTCCTGAGAGAGAGCTTTCCTGAGCATCATACTGAAGAAAGCTGCTTTCCATCATTTCATTCTGTTTATTTTCTTCATAGTTCTGTGCACAATCAACAATTATCTAAAGTACTTACATACTTATTTGCTCCTGGCTGTTTGAGAGCAGTAATGACTCATGCCCTCTTTTTCTCCTTCAAATCCAGAATATAGATATAGATATAGATATAGATATATAGAGAGAAACAGATTCAAAAATAGGTAGAAATTTAAAAATACATATTTGGACAGTGAGGCTTCCTGAAAAACATGGCTTATATCGTTTTAAAAATTATCTCCAAATTAAAATCAAAACCATTACCCTAACTTCAGCCCTGATGAGACAGACTGTGTGCTTCCTTATGCTTTATACCTAAAGGAGTGGAAATACATTTGGCCAAACAAGAGAACAAGGAAAAGCCTCCTTGGTCTCTTTTTCCTGTTCTATAAATCTTAAAAATTAGGGGGTTGACAAGGGTGGGTACTTTCCAAAATGTTCCATCAAAACTATGGAAGTTTTCTCAACTGAACAGAAATGTGAGGCATGCAGTAGGAGTAAGCAGCACCTAACAGTCATTTCTCAGTTTCTGTGTCCTGAGGAGATGATGTCTCCCTTATCCATAGCTGTTTCACCAGAACAGGACAGGGTGCTAACAGGTGCTGCATCTAAAATATGCTAAGGAATTAATGAAATATGAACTCATTTATGTGAAATTGTTCATTTACTACATTAGCAAATGTTTTAAGGGAGAACACTTAGTACTGATGATCATATGATAAAGAGGCATGATTCTCACACATTGCCAAGGTATTTATGTTGATATAGGCTTACAAAATTTGTATTACTACACCATAAATTGTGATCATTTTTTAGGGCAACTGGAAATTGATACAAAAGCTTCAAAATGTATATATATTTATCAGCTGCAATTACATTTTAATAATATAACTGGAAGAAACAAGCATAGGTTTGTAAGAATATTTATCTCAATGATATGAAACATAAAGGAACTATAAATAAAAATGTGACCATAAAATATTTCATAATTATGATATTAAAACACTTGTTTTTATACAATATTATATACAAGGTAGTAGTTATTGATTTATCACACATAATACATTTTAATACAGAAAACATTGTATTAAGCAAGAATGGTAACTTTAAAATATCTGTGTAATTCCTTTCCAATCTCATCTTTAGTATATATGTCTTTGAGGATTTAAGTTTTTTAATAGAGTGAATGTTGAAATAATTTTTGCAAAAATTCTGTTAGATTTGAGACTGCAAGATTTCAAAATGAAGATTCAGATGTTGATGGAGAAATGTCAAGCAAGTGTAAAGGGACAGCACAGGTCACACGGCTTCTGAGAAGTTCTATCACCCTCTTTCTTATCTTTTGTCTTCCTGTGGTTGTTGGGCAGACTCAGGGCCTTCCAGGGAAGAGTTCCCTAGAAAGAGCTCACCAATGATTCCAACACTTCCCATCTCTGTGACCTGCTACGGCTACCATGGCAGACTGCTGGTAAGGGAGCATGTGAGGAGGCAAAAGGTGACCAGAGTTGGATAGCAACCAGAGAGGCCAGAGCTGTGAGGATAGATTAAGAAAAAAAGATTCTATCACAATTAAAGTTAAGGTCAAGTCTGAAATTTGTCATTGTACCTGAGGACAATGAGAAAAAGAGCATCTCCCAAAAGTAGGACAACCCCAAAGAGATCATTTTCAATGTAAATACTGTTAACATGAATTGGTTTCCCATTTGAGTTTCTTTGAAAGACTGCATGAATATCATTATGCTTAAGAGTTTTTTTAAATATTGCTTGGGTAACCATATTGCATGTGGTTAAAGAGTTTTTTCATTTATGCCTAAATTTCAGTTTCCAGCACAGGTGAAAAGGTAAATAAGTAAAACTACAACCACTAGGATTGGCAAACAGCAGAAGGAGCTCTCAGGAAGTCCTGGATCAATGCCAGAAAGGAGAGTTTTATGGAACTGTTAAGAAACTACAAAAATCCAAACTTACTTAGAAGGGACTCAAATCTGAAATGTGTGAAAAGACAAGTGGTCAAGCATATAAAGATATGGTATCTTCATATCTTGTCCTCAGAAGCTATGAAGTCCCCTCTATTTCAGGGTGTTTGTTGACATCCCTCTTCAAAGTTCATTAACAATCAAGATGTCCACTTAGAAAGGGAAGACAGATCACATATTCTCTAAACCAACATAAGTGTGAATGTGTGTATATAATATAGAGCTTATTAAATAGATGCTATTATGCTAACATGTTTATTATATGAGAATAATATATATATGTATTTATTATCCCATTATTCCATTCATAAGTTTTCTCATTTTAATGAACACACAGTTATTATTTACAACATGGCTGAAGATAAATTCTAAGAAATCCACCCTAAATGATACAATTCTAGATGCTCACTCTGTAACATTCACTAAACATTTGGTACCCTTGCTCTGCAGCTCTGACCTTCCTGTCTTGGAGGAGATTGTGTCTCTGCCATAGGAGCATGGGAAGCAACAAGACGTGGATCACAGAGGTCATTCTGCTGGGGTTCCAGGCTGATCCAGCACTGGAGTGTTTTCTCTGTGGAGTTTTCTCTCTCCTTTATGCTTTTACCCTCTTGGGGAATGGAATCATCCTTGGGATTATCTGCCTGGACCCAAGATTACACACTCCCATGTACTTCTTCCTCTCACACTTAGCTCTACTTGACATGTCCTATGCTTCCAACAATGTCCCTAAGATGCTAGAGAGCCTTGTGATCCAAAAAAGAGCTATCTCATTTGTTTCATGCTTAATGCAAACATACTTGTATTTAGTTTTTGCTGTTACAGAGTGCCTGATCTTGGTGGTGATGTCCTATGATCGCTATGTGGCCATCTGCCACCCCCTACATTACACTGTCATCATGAGCTGGAGGGTCTGTACTGTCTCGGCTGCCACTTCTTGGGCTCTTAGCTTCCTCTTGGCCCTGGTCCATTTAGTCCTCATCCTGAGATTATCCTTCTGTGGTCCTCATGAAATCAACCACTTCTTCTGTGAAATCCTGTCTGTTCTCAAACTGGCCTGTGCTGACACCAGACTCAATCAAGTCGTCATCTTTGCAGCCTGCGTGTTTGTCTTAGTGGGGCCCTTGTGCCTGGTGCTGGTCTCCTACAGCCAAATACTGGTTGCGATCCTGAGGATCCAGTCAGGCGAGGGCAGACGAAAGGCCTTCTCCACCTGTTCCTCCCACCTCTGTGTGGTGGGGCTCTTCTTTGGCAGCGCCATTGTCATGTACATGGCCCCCAAGTCCCGCCATCCTGAGGAGGAGCAGAAGATCCTGTCCCTGTTTTATAGCCTTTTCAACCCCATGCTGAACCCCCTGATCTACAGCCTGAGGAATGCAGAGGTGAAGGGTTCCCTGAGGAGGGCGTTGTGGAAGCGGAGGCCAATGTGAGAGAACTGGAAAGGCACGGGTTGGGTTGGGTTGGGGGTTTACTTCCCAGGAAATATGGAGCTGTCAATTCTTTACTCTGTAGAATAAATGCTAATTTACAAGGGAAAGTTATAGAACTATACATATAAACTGAGGATATAATCCTTGTGATAAAAAAAATTGAAGAGTGCCCTCGTGATCTCGAGTAAGATCTTGGGGATTATTAGAGAAACCACAAAAAACCCTAAATATAAAATGGTTAAGATATCAGGACTCCTCAAAACTAACTACTCATCGGAGCCGGGGATTTAGCTCAGTGGTTCCACCGCCTGCCTCACAAGCGCAAGGACCCAAGTTCGATCCCTGGTACCAAAAAACAAACCAAAACAACCCTAATTACTCATTAAAGTTGTCATTAAGAAACGTGAAATGGAAGCTACCGGCCATTGTAATATTCAAATTACATATACATTGAAATGGAATTTGAGACAGTATTGAAAACAGACTCCTTCAAATCAATGATAATAAAAAAGTAATCAAGCAAATTTTATAAAATTAGAAAATTAGAAAAGCATAAATGCTTCCAGAATGTCTAAAGATGGCTGCTAAGCATAAAATCCTCCTTGCTTCCATTATTCAGCAAGAAATTATAAATTAAAGCTACTGAAAGATATTACTTGGCATCTAAAATTTTAATAGGTAATTTCTCATCAGGATTTTTGAAAATCTAATTCCTATTGAAAAATCATCAATACTAGCAAAATTTTTATCCAGAATAGCTAAGTCACACTGAGCTGATAAAAGCATGGAACATATTCTCTAGATCAACAATTGGTGACTTTTCCTGTAAAGGGACCCAATTAAATATATACAACTTTCCACTCCTTCTTCTGTCATAACCACTCATCTCTGGCAATAGCAGCCGTAGAAATATGTAAATGAATGAGAGTGGCTATATTCTAAGGAAACTTACACACATAAGATGCTTTTCAAATGGGGGTCATGGAACAATAACTAACCAGCCCTTATTCTGGAGCTAGGGTTAGTCTTTTTCCACCAGATTCAAAGTTAGCACACTTCCCTGGGGATGGGGGACTCAGAGATCAGGTAATTAAATCCAATTTAAGACTTCATGGTTGCTTTGGGGCCATTCTAAAATGAAGTTTCTCTTCTTTTCACAACACACAAAACTTACTGTGACTTAATAGCCAATGGAGTGTAAAGGTGTGGCTGCTCCATCATATTTAGGAACTCAGAGCGAGCTCCTTATATTTCCTACCATAAATTGGAACCTGAGACTGTGCAAGAAAAGCTTGGAATGAGAGATTTGAATCGGAATACAGTAATATAATAAAAGTAGAACAGATGGGATGTGGAATATTGTTCAGTTATAGAACACTTGCTCATCATGAACAAGTCCTTGGGATTGGCTTCTAGTGCCACACACACACACACACACACACACACACACACAATAAAGAAATGTCTTGTACAGAGGCTGACACTAGGTTGAAGCACTTTATATCTTTATGATGAAATAGTCCTAGTTTTAATTATATAACCTGAAAGCCACCCTCATCTTAGTCTGGGTTACCAGGAAATTTAATTCTCAACTCTAGTCACATATCTGATAATAATTTCTCATGGCAGAGAACATCTGGAGAAAAACTTGTAAGTAAGGAAACCTCAGAACAGTTTAAAGTTCTTACAACCGATAAATCTTTACCATGTAAAGGAAGGGATCCTGTAGACTCATAGGTCCAGAGAATTCTAATGTTGATTTCTGTAAGGAGCCAACTTTTGATTTCATTGATTATTCTGTTTTTCTTCTTTTTAATTCCATTGATTTGTGTATTTTGTTTATTTGTTTGTTTGTTTGAGACAGGGGCTCACTTTGTAGTTCAGGCTGGCCCTGAACTCACTATGTAGCCCAGGCTAGCCTCAAACTCTCAGTGATCCTCCTGCCTCTTCCTCTCAAGTGCTGGGATTACAGGTGTGTGCCACCACATCCAGCTCAGAGAATTCTAATGCTGATGATTGCTCTAATAGTGAGAGCTTTAAATAAGCTCAGAATATTTCTAATCATCATGCTTCTTTTTACTTTTGAATATGGAGTGTTGTATGAATATGTTTTATGGTTTTCTTTTCCTTCTTAGGGCTCCTTGGTCAATTGTAAAATCACCATGCCAATTTAGAGTCTCTATATGACTACATATAAATTTCCTTTCAGTGTTTTCCATCCCTAGAAGCAAAGCATTCTGTGATATATTGTTCTCCAAAATTTATTGAAAAATGAACAGCCAACATCATACTAAATGGTAAAAAAATCAACCGTCACATTAAAATCAGGAACAAGACAGGCTAGTTATTTAGCTCAGTGGTTCCACTCCTTGCTTTGCAAGTACAAGGACAAGGACCAGAGTTCAATCCAGGGTACAAAAAAAAAAAAAATCAGGAACAAGACAACCATCCAAAACAATGAAATATTTAGGTATCAGTCTAACAAGGGAAACAAAAGACCTCTGTATTGAGAACTACAACACTCTGAAAAAAAGATTGAAGAGGATATAAGAAAATGGGAAGACATCCCTTGATCCTGGGTAGGAAGAGTCAGTATAGTGAAAATGGCCATACTTCCAAAACTGCTATACAGATTCAATGCAATTCCTATTGAAATTCCAACAACGTATTTCACAGAACTAGAGAAAACAATCCAAAACTTTACTTGGAATCAGAAGAGTCCTAGAATAACCAAAGCAATTCTAGATAACAAAGACATGGCAGCAGGTATCAAAACTAAACTATACTACAAAGCCACTGTGCAAAAAACAGCATGGTACTGGAAAAGAAACAGACCCAAGGATCTGTGGAACAGATGAAAAGATGCAGTAACAACTCCTGACATACTCAACTACATCATCTTTGACAAAGGAGCCAACCATCCTCACTAGAAGAAAGATAGACTCTTTAACAAATGGTATTGGAAAAATAAGATTTCAACTTGCCAAAGATTAAAACTAGACCCCTATCTTTCACCATGCACTAAACTAAAATCCAAGTGGATTAAAGATCTAAATATTAAAACAGAAAATCTAAACTTTCTGGAAGATAAATTAGATAGAACTCTTGAAGATATTGGCATAGGAAAAGACTTTATGAACAAATCCTCAGTAGCACAGGAACTAGCACAAAGAATCAATAACTGGGATCTCCTCTTTTTAGAAAGCCTCTGCATTGCACAAAAAATCACCAGCAGAGCTAAGAGACTACCCACATGTGGGAAAAAAAAATTCACCAGCTGTTGCTCAGACAAATGTCTACTATCTAGAATATATAAAGAACTCAAAAGAATCAGACCCCCTAAATGTAAAGACCTGATTCAAAAATGAGCATCTGAAATGAACAGACATTTCTCAAACAAAGAAGTAAAAACAGCAAATAAATATATGAAAAACTGTTCAACATCACTGGTCATTCAAGAGATGCAGATGAAAACAACAATGAAATTCCACCTCACCCCAGAAAGAATGGCTGTTATCAAGAAATTAACCAATAGCAAATGCTGGCAGGGGTGTGGGGAGAAAGGAACCCTTCTCCATTGTTGGTGGGAGTGCAGACTGGTGCAACCACTGTGGAAGTCAATATGGAGATACCTTAAACAACTAGGATTAGAAGTCCCATTTTTTCCTCTGCTGGGGATCTTCCCAAAAGAATTAATCATACCACAGCAATATATGGTCACCGGTATTTACAGAGGCACAGTTTATAATAGCTAAAACTTGGAAACAGCCTAATTGCCTGCGCATCTACTGGAGTCTGGATAAAGATGCATTTGCTTGGTTTTTAATAAAATTGAGTACTGCTCAGCTGTGAAGAATGAGAAACTAGAGGCCTTTATAGCTAAGTGGATGTACATGGAGGCCATTCTCTTAAGTGAATGGAGGCCATTCTCTTAACCTCTTTCTCTGGTATGAAAAACTGAAAGTGTAAATAAGGATCAAAATGTATAATTGGTATCATGTAATAGGAAAAAAAAAGCTCTAAAAGAGTAGAGGACATAAAAGCGGTAGGGGAAAGGTAAAAGGGAAAATAAAAAATATGTGAATAGGAAAATCATGGAAACAATGTCTTTGTAAATGGAAGGATGAAGGGAATGAATGAAGGGCTGGGGAATGGGAAAAGATTAAGAACCACAATAATTCATGTAAAGTACAAGATCCCAATGATAAATATAACTCTACTGCATACCTAAAACATACCAATAAATTTAATTTTAAAAAAGACCTGGGTTCAATCCCCAGCTCCAAAAGAAAGAAAGAAAAACAGATGGGAGAGGAGAAGAGGGAACAGAAGGGAAGAGAAGGAAAAAGAGGGGAGGGGAGGAGAGGTGAAGTTGTGAGGACCAAGTTTCCAGGTGACGGTGGGCTCCATGCCCCTTACCCAGAATAGAGTAAATGCAAAAGTTCTTTTCTGAAAAATTCCATTCTATGTGACAGTTGCCATTCTATGTGGTAGTTTCTCTGTGCTTTGACAATTGCAGTTCCTCTTTTAGGGCATCTCCACCCTGCTTCTGTTCGGGGAGGAGAGGTGAAGTTGTGAGGACCAAGTTTCCAGGTGACGGTGGGCTCCATGCCCCTTACCCAGAATAGAGTAAATGCAAAAGTTCTTTTCTGAAAAATTCCATTCTATGTGACAGTTGCCATTCTATGTGGTAGTTTCTCTGTGCTTTGACAATTGCAGTTCCTCTTTTAGGGCATCTCCACCCTGCTTCTGTTCCTCTTTTTAAGATAAGCTTCTTTTTGTAATTCAATTAATATAGGAATTAAGTACAGTTGATATAAAAGCTTCTTTTGGGGTGATCTAATCAATATAGGAATTAGTTATAGCTGATATAGGAATTAATTATAGTGGACATAGATAGTCATATATCTTAGTAAAAGTCAGAAAAGAGGAATTAATTGTCTAATGAAAAGAGGAATTAATTCTCTAAAGGCCTTAGGCAACTTTCCAATACGTACCCT